GGTTTAGATGTCGAGGGATTCCCGACCTCCTCGATTTGCATACAATGAAAAAAAAAAGAAAAAAAAGTATGCACTACTACGAAGCAGCCGAAGTATCAATAGTGCAATGCAGGCCGCCGCAGAGCGGCACGCAGCAAAGTTCTACTGTGGCCACTGGTGTAATATGTCGCCAAGCAGTCGACAGGCGGTATCAACGAACTTGGAATGCGCACAACTGTTGCAAATGAGGCAACCGTACAGGGAGAGGAGTTATAGACGAAGGAAAAGCAGAGAATCAAAGCGAAGTTTCACTCGGCGTGGTCGTCCAATGGGAGAGTCACATCCTTTTATAGTTTGCAAATCAGGTGGCACCGCAGAAATCGCGGAACGAACGACACTATTCCGCAGATGCCGACAAGTGATTGCAACCTGAGAAAGAGCGGGCAACACCCATCATCTCTGGACATAAAATAGGTAGATGCCGTTCTGAAATGCAAAATAGGAGATAATGTAGTCCTCCCCACAGTTCAATTTCATCCCAATTTCATTCCCCCCGTACCTGAGCCAACAGTCCGGCCAACCCTTCCAACTGGGGGAAAGGAATCAAAATGTTGTTCAGGGGATATCTGAATATGATAGGTTTTGCCGGTGGAAAAGGAACCGGACTGACATGTCCTGGAAAACAGACGCGCTGGCCACAACTCATAAGGTCACGTCAAAAAAAACAGCAAAGAAGAAGAAGGAGGAGGAGGAGGAGGAGGAGGAGGAGACGACGATGACGACTACCACTACGAAGAAGAAGGGGAAGAGGAAGAAGGGGGAAAGGAAGAAGGCAGAGGAGGAGGAGGAGGAGGAGAAGAAGACGACGACGACAAAGACGGCGACGACAAAGAAAGGGAAGGGGAAGAAAAAAAAGGGGAAGAAGAAGAAGGGGAAGAAGAAGAAGGGGAAGAAGGGGAAGAAGGGGAAGGGGAAGAAGAAGAAGGGGAAAAAAGGGGAAGGGGAAGAAGGGGAAGAAGGGGAAGAAGAAGAAGAAGAAGGGGAAGAAGGGAAAGAAGGGAAAGGGGAAGAAGAAGAAGGGGAAGAAGAAGAAGGGGAAGCAGGGGAAGGGGAAGAAGGGGAAGAAGGGGAAGAAGGGGAAGAAGAGGAAGAAGAGGAAGAAGAAGAAAGGGAAGAAGAAGAAGAAGAAGAAGAAGAAGAAGAAGAAGAAGAAGAAGAAGAAGAAGAAGAAGTGTGGGAAGGGGAAGAAGAAGAAGAAGAAGAAGGGGGGGGAGGGGAAGAAGAAGAAGGGGGGGAAGCGGAAGAAGGGGAAGAAGGGGAAGGGGAAGAAGGGGAAGAAGGGGAAGGGGAAGAAGGGGATGAAGGGGAAGAAGGGGAAGAAGAAGGGGAAGAAGGGGAAGAAGGGGAAGAAGAAGGGGAAGAAGAAGGGGAAGAAGAAGAAGAAGAAGGGGAAGAAGAAGAAGGGGGGGGCGAAGAAGAGGAAGAAGAAGAAGAAGGGGAAGAAGAAGAAGAAGGGGGGGACGAAGAACGGGAAGAAGAAGAAGAAGGGGAAGAAGAAGAAGGGGGGGACGAAGAACGGGAAGAAGAAGAAGAAGGGGAAGAAGAAGAAGAAGGGAGGGAAGAAGAAGGGCAAGAAGACTAAGAAAGGAGGGGAGAAGAAGGGGAAGAAGACGAAGGGAAGAAGA